CATTCATGTTTTGTTTCTGTCTAACGCAGAGCTTTGTCTCTATCTTTTGACAACTTATAAGTGACTTTTATTTAGAAGTCAGAAAAATAAAAGCGATTGTGTGTGTGTACCGAAAACATTGAAATTTATTTTCATTTGTAAAGTTTTTACATAATATGTCACGAAAAAACTATACGGAGCGAGAAAAGAGGGAGCTTTTAACAATAGTGGATAAGTAAGTACCTAATAGGTACAAATCAGTTGTTCAAATCAAGCTTTCTAATCTATACAAAGAAACCGATCTGCTTTTGGCATTTAAAATTTTTAAATATATTGATAATATATATTTCAATGTAGGTACAAAGCAATAATAGAAAATAAGTCTACCAATATACGGTGGAAAAAAAACGTGACTTGGAAAAAAATTGAAGAATTTAGAAATAAAAATTAAAGAATTGGAATTTACTTCTAAAGCAAATAAAAAGTAAAATAATTATAGTGTAAATCTGATATAAACTACAATATAAAGATGTTTGTTTGTTTGTTTGAACGCGTTAACATCAGGAACTGCTGAACTGAATTGAAATATTCTTTTTACGTTGGGTTAGCCATAATTCTAGAAAGGCTTTAGTGTACAATAATTGTTCGTTTTAAGTTCCAGGTGTGTCAGTTTTCCCATTAGTTGATGGAAAACAGATTTTGAAATCCTGTAGCGATCCTTAAATTCTTCATCATTGTAATGAATTACAGGATTTATTCGTTTCCGGAACTGGCGAGTTGGTGCCAGATCTTCCTCGTCACTAGATAGGGATATATCGTCAACAGATAAATCTGACAACATTTTTTACTACCACTACAACAATCCTCTGACCAAAATATCAGTAAAATTTCTTTTGACAGTTTGTTAATTGATCAATTTTCACCAATTACTTATTAAAACACAACAAAACGTTAACATGCAGTTAACATACAAAAAAGCTTTCCGGAAACCAAAAACTACCGCAATCGGCCATTAATTCGAGATTTGACATTTGCAACAACAAATCATTGACAAACTGTCACTTGGCTCGTTGAGAAACCCAAAGTGCATTTAAATAGAGATTAACAACTTGTTACGTAATTTTTTCGATGACATGCGTTTCAGAAACCGGGTGTTAATTTATTAATTGATGATTCGTATCCTTCGCAGGAATGCGTCGTCGGAATAATGATATTTTTTTATTTACTTATTTTATTTAATTGACATCCCTGAGAACGGTTATGTCTACAAACCTTTGCTACCTACTATGGAAAAACCCATAAAATGAGAAATAGGATTGGACTGGCCATCAAGCATTATAAATAGCCGTATACAGGGTGTAAAAAAATCCTTTGACGAAGTCGAAGGCCACGTATTTTCTACATCATGACGATCATTTTTTTCTTCTGGGCTATACCTGATAAATTTATGGTTATGGAGATATTGAAGGTCAAAGTCACAATTTTTTTTTCAAGATTTTTACACATACTTTATTTAGAAACTTTTTTATCGACGCACTTACATACACACAGGCACATTCTTTGCGCAGCACTGTGTACTGAAAAAAAAAGTTTTTTTTTTACTAAAAAATACAAATGTTTCCCACGTATAATATTTAGTAATATTACTTGGGTGTACAAAATGCATAATTTTACTCTTTGTCATAGGTTTTTTACACCCTGTATTTATGGTTAATAATTTGACGTAAAAGAAGACTTTGCCCTGACTTTGATGACAAACACAATACACTCAAGTTGATGTTGATGACCTACGATTGACTGACCCCTTTCAGCACTCATTATACTACTCAAAACTACCCAACAAGTTTCACTAAGCTACGGGCTACAATCATATGTCGAAGCTTGAACTTACAAAGACATAATTTGGGTCAGCAGGGACTGAAATTACTGCTTATCTGATGGACCTGCCCTAAAGAATACTTGCGTTAATAAATTAGATTGTTATAGAAGCGAAACTTTTTAGATTTACTACGAAGGCGAGCTAGAAATTTAAAGAATACAGGCTAAGGCTTTTGTATTACTACTCATCTATACATAGTATAATAAAATGGTAGGAAAGTCAAAACATTGAATATTTTTTGAAGTTATACTTCTTTAGGCGCGTTATGAAAAAATGATGAGAGTGAAATTTTAAGATGCGCGCGCATCACTGTAACACAAAAAATTAACAGCTGTTACTTTTGTGTTTACCGCACATTTAGAAAATCTACCAACAAAATAGAAATAGAATCTCTAAAATAGAAATAGAATCTCTATTTTATGGGTGCTAACGACTGCATTGTGAAGGCCTATCAAAAGTATTATTAATTAATTTATCGTAATTAATTATTTGCATGCAATTAAAAACTAATTTTAAACGAAACCAAAGAAGGATAACTTCTCACGCGCCTACATAAGTACACGCACCCATTTTTTTAAAAAGAATACTTGGGGTGTGATCTACAATCGATACCATCAATCGATTAATAAAATTAGTTTGTCAATAATGGGACTGGTACGTGATTCTCTGAACTTACGACCATATTTGGTAGTGTTCTCCCCTTTTAAATAATTGTAGAGCATGATACACTGTTGTGGTTTTGGATTCAGAGGATTATTCTGTGATTGGGCAAATATTTGTGTTGTGTAGTAAATTCCGTATGTAAAAAATGTAAAAAAAACTGTTTACTGTTTAACGCATGATAAGGACATCTTTAATTACAGTTATATTATATCGTAATACTTAAGCATATGTGTAAGTCTGTATGTATTAATATAGCTGTATTGATGGTCCATAAATAAATAAATAGATACCGAAGCCACACAAAATATAGTTTTTAGAACTTTTGTCTGTTTGTCTGTATGTATGTCCGGGATAAACTCGAAAAGTACTGCATGGATTTACTTCAAATTTGGCACAAATATTATTTAGAAGTCGGATCAACATAAAGGTTACATAATATCACGCTATCACCTACGGGGAACGCAGTGAATCTTTATTTCTAACTAACTACACGCGTACGAAGTCGCGGGCGACCGCTTAGTTATTAATAAAAACAAATAGGCAATATCTTAATCATTTTTTCAAATGTCCTCATTCATTATTACCTCGTTAAAAAAGAGCTCTCAATTCCGACGATATGTTTTTTTTTTATGTATAAATAAATAATAAATAAATAAATAAATATTTCCAACACTCACACCAATTAGCCTAGCCCCAAAGTAAGCACTGTAAGGCTTGTGTTATAGGATACTAGGGTAACGGATAGAATACATATACTGTACATATATAAGTATATTTAAATAGAAATACATATTAAACATCCATGACTGGAGTACAAATGCTCGTATTCATCACACAAACATCTGCCCCCACCGGGATTCGAACCCGGGACCTCTCGAGTCGGCGACACCATGGAACCCGGCGTACAAACCACTCGGCCACGAAGGTCGTCAAATGTAATGTATGTACGCAGATTACTTTGATTCGATTGACGTGATTATTTTTTGACCGATGCGTCATAGTTTGACGACCTCCATGGTCGAGTGGTTTGTACGCCGGGTTCCATGGTGTCGCCGACTCGAGAGGTCCCGGGTTCGAATCCCGGTTGGGGCAGATATTTGTGTGATGAATACGAGCATTTGTACTCCAGTCATGGATGTTTAATATGTATTTCTATTTAAATATACTTATATATGTACAGTATATGTATTCTATCCGTTACCCTAGTATCCCATAACACAAGCCTTACAGTGCTTACTTTGGGGCTAGGCTAATTGGTGTGAGTTATGGAAATATTTATTTATTATTTATTTATTTATAGTTGTCATTTGGTGCCATAACAATTTAATTTAATTTGGTTCAACAGTTTTTATTTTATGTGCCTATTTGTATCTTGAACGACGTAATTTTCACGATACTTTGTTACGATTAAGGAAACTTGATATGAAATATCATAATCGCAGAGAAGACGGCGCGTTCGAGAAGAAATGCTTTACACACAACCCCGTGCATCTCGCCGAGAGTTTGCAGTCGCGGTCCAGCGGGCACTTTACGCTTTCACCAACCATTCCTCTCCGGCCGCCACGCGACGCGAAGAGTGCACACGAACCGATGTTTGTGTGTCGTTAGTTATTTTTTTCTTAGATTTAGAAGATCAACTGATCGGCGGCGTGGAGATCCTTGGGGAAGGCCTATAGGGTTTCTTACCTTTATGCAGCACAACGAGCTGACAGTCCACCTAACGGTAAGTGTTCACTGGCTCATGGATTCTTGCAGCACCAAAGATAGATCTCTAGACTCATGCGTTCCCTACGCTGCAGGAATAGGTTTACCCGCCATTTGAAGACCTTCATATCATAGCTAAGAAGAAAAACCGCTGAGGGAAGTTCCTTCCAGATCTTTCTGGTAGTTACGCATGATAAAGGAACGCAATGAGCGTCCTTTTTTATTACGCAGGCAAAACCTCTATTTTTTTTCGATGACGGGGAGAAAAACTCATTATATCCACGACAATGACCAACGCCGCATTAGTTTGCTGTCAACAAACTCTCACGACGCAGGTAATTGCGTGGTGCATTCGGCAAAGCCTATCGCAAGTCTTACTGGTTAGAAACTGATAATCAGACCCGTCTTTCCCAGTGGGCACTTTGGGCAAGTGTCCAGAGCCCCGCGATCGATAGTGGCCCACCTCAGATCACAAATACAAAGTCCCTAGTTCCTGTTAGATCACTAAACGGGGGTAATAGGGGCCCCATTATCGTAATATGCCCAAGGCCTCCAATAGGTCAAAGATGGCACTGCTGATAAGCCATTAAGCAATCCGCGCGGCTAATGAGCGCTTACGGCATACTGTCCGCTAAAAAATCCTGCGAATACCCTCTACGCTGCTAAGTGCGGAACCGCGACGTCTCCGTTGAGAGACCACCGCGTCTCCGCACCCACGCAATGAGCGTCTTACGGCTGATATGATAACTTTGAATTTAGTTCATGGAACATTTACCTTTCTCCCTTACGTCAACCCTCAGCAATCATGTTCTGAAACAAAAACAAAAGACAATTGTTACTATTGATTGTAAAATTGGAGAATATGTCTTATCCTTTAAACGAAAACGGACTCGTCTGCTTGTATTCGAATTAGCTTAGATTCAAAGAAGCTTTGCTTCTTGCCAAATTCACTACGCATTGTTTCTGAATAACCTTTTGGATTGCAAATTGTGGCATCTAATAAGAAATGACGCTATGATAGCTCCCTACCTTTCATAGCGTCATTTCTTATTAGATGCGGATTCAGAAAGCCCTGGAACTCTTTCCAGGGCTTTCCGCTGGGTAGGGGATTGGGTTCAGGCCGGCAAGGAGACGATGGCTGGAGCGGCACACCTTATGTGGCAGCTGAATCCCACTTACACTTAACATCAGCTGAGATGGGGTAATGGGGGAATCTCTAAATTGTCCGGTTTTTTTAAATTACATATTTTGAATATAAATAAAAAATGTACATATTGTTTTAAATACCATACCATTGTTACTGAGTAGTAGTACCATTTTGTGACTAAAAAGTCCGGACTTTTTTTGCAATGTCAGGATTATTGAAATTCGTAAATGGTAATCCTAGTGCGCTTCGTACAAAAAAATTATACGCCGCTATTTATCTATCTTTAATTTACTTATTTATCTCATGCAGCCTCATTCAGAGACGAAAATTAACTTCAATGTTTGTTTAAAGTTGTTACTGTCACTTTTTTGTCATAAAGATAAAAAACGCATGATTTATCCAGCGCTAAATCTAATTAACATTTTAAAGCGAAGCTGATAGTGTTATTGGCATATTTAATCTGGTAAAACCCGCATTTGTAACCAGGTTTTACATTAATGATAATGTTCGTGATATACTCAACTTTTGCATTAAACCACAAATCATTGGTAATTTTTACGTCATACGTGAAGTAAGCAAATACATCAATTTACTGTAGTCATCATGTTTGTGTAACGCAACAGAAAAGTTTGCGGTCATCAAGAGTAGCAGATTAATGTATATGTATATTATTAGAAAAATCTCTTTCCGCGTCTGTCTGTTTATCTTACTAGTATTATAAATGTAATAATTAATCAGGTTGTTATTATTTAATCGTAATTAACGCACACTAATCAGGAATGTTACTTTCTTCGTGAGGCGATTACGTTACGATTCCGATTGGTGTGCGTTGCAGTAGGGGGTTTCTTACAAAGAACAATGAACAGCTCGAGTTGTTAAGGCGCTGTCCGACGACTTGTGTTGTCGCGGGCGAGGATGCGCCGTGCATCTGGATCTCATGTGGAAATGGGCGTTCCCCAGGGTTCAATTTTGGGTCCCTTCCTGTTTCTCGTATATATAAATGATTTGCCATTTTTTGTGGTAAAAATGTGTGAGATAGTATTATTTGCTGTTGACACATCTTTATTATTTAACTTTGACAACAGAAAAGAAAAAAAGTAAAAACTCAAAAAGTTGTATATAGGTACATATTTATAGATAGTTGAGATAGCTTTCTATTCATGTCTCCGTTATTAAGGAGAATATGGAAGAAAGTGTAATGTGCCGTTTTTACTTTTTCACGTTAAGCGTCAATAAATAAATCTGGCAGGTATTACCCGATTATCCCGGCCAACGAATAAGGATGCATTTAGTGATGGCATAATGAATCTGTACTTATTGAGTCGATCCTTTGTGAACTGGACAGTTATTTACTTTCTGATAATATTTATGGTTTGTGTACATGACACAAACAATCAACATTGTTCAAATCTTACAAGGTAGTGTTTTTATGAGGAACTCGATGGCGCAAGTGGTTAGCGCGTTCGGCTGCGATAGTTGAAGTTAAGCAAATTTCGCAGTGGTCGGTTATTGGATGGGTGACAAAAATTTACTATCTCGAGCTCCTCCATGTTTCGGAAGGCACTTTAAGCCGTTGGTCTCGGCTGCATCTGCAGTCGTTAGCACCTACCAATCCGCACTGGGCCCACGTGGTGGGTCATGGTACAAACTCGTTATTCAATCCATATGGAAGGCCTTTAATAGGCTGATGATGATGATAATTTTGACCCTTTAAACCCAAGGAACAACCTTTGAAATTATCGCTCAACCTTAAAAGGTTCAAATATCACATACAGAGCGCGATAACCATGCCGTAATCAACTTAATTGTTTAATTAATCTTAAGGTTTACTTGTATTATTAAGTGGATCCTTAAACTTCATAAACTACTGTCATAGCCGCCATTTTATTCATCCATTAACGTAATCAAACAAGTTATTGAAATAAATACTGCCTTTGCGTTATTTGATGACAATATAATATCAATTTCCTGTCATAATCATAAAGGAAGATTTTTGATAATGATAAGTACATTTTACTCCTATTAAAAGAGTTATTCGTATGACTTGCGTTTGTGTATCGCGTGATGTATACCGTATGTCAACATTTAAAGCGATTGCCTATCGTTCACCCCGAAAGACTAGCTTAAAATGACCCCTCATAATTATAACACGATAGGCCGATAAAGATCACAGCAAAACGGTCGGGAAAAAGCTTTTCATTTCAACCTTAACGCTACGTTTAATTTTGTATCTAATGGTCTAGGTAGTAAGTATCGAAATGAAACACAAATGTAGTGACAGTTCCGGCCATCGGGGTGAATGACCTGTGTTTAATTAGACAACTAGGTCGATGGCTGTGTAATAATTGATAAAATTTACATTCATGAAAAATGTATGTCCATGGTATGCAATTATCGGTCACAGCCACACAATAAATTCTAAAAGAAAAACTCGCATCGAATGCTATAAATAACAGTTTCATAATTCAATTCGGTGTGTAATCAGAGACGTCAATATGTTTAAACTAGTGGCCCGCCCTCGCTTCGCTTCGGTGTAGAGCTGAAGTGTAGACTACAGTTTTTGTTCTCAGGCTTGTATTATACACAGTGACATTCATCTATGATTCTTCTTATACCTGCATGCAAAGTATCAGCCCGATCGGTTTAAAATTGACAAAGTTTCATACAAACTTTCATTCCCTATTGTATCCCCTTGGGGGTAGAATTGATCAAAATCCTTTCTTAGCGGATGCCTACGTTATAACATCTACCTGCATGCCAAATTTCAGCCCGATCCGTCCAGTGGTTTGGGCTGTGCGTTGATAGATCACTATGTCAATCAGTCAGTCACCTTTGAGTTTTATATATAAAGATAGAAGATATTTAAACTTGAGCGGTTGAGCGTGTCCGTACTCATATACATTTGAAGCGAGTAAAAAATGTAAATTAACACGCCCCATCCTACCTACCTCCTAAACAATCATCATCATCAGCCTATTAATGTCCCCACTGCCGAGGCACAAGCCTTCCCTATGAATGGAATAGGGATATTGGGCCATGGCCCATGACCCACCACGCGGGCCCAGTGCGGATTGGCGGGTGCTAACGACTGCAGATGCTGCCGGGACCAACGGCTCAACGTGCCTTCCGAAGCACGGAGGAACTCGAGATAGAAGATTTTTAGTCACCCATCGAATGACCGTCCACTGCGAAAGTTGCTTTTCAACGATCGCAGAAGATATAAGATATCGTATTAGTAATTAATTTTAACTACACACATCAAAAGTGTCTAGGGATCAAGCATTTTTATGCGGATTTCTTGAGATTGAGATGTGGCTTTGTAATAAATTTATGATTTTATAAATTTATATGGATCCTTTTTGGTGCATTTCATAATTTGAATCAGGAACTGTGAATCAAATTCGAGTAAAAGATGAAAATCAGCTGTCAATATTTTCCCTATAAAAACATACAACGCATTGAAGACATTATTAGTGCTACTGTTTCCCTACTACTGATTAAAACCAACGTTATTATGGAGCGGCGACGTCATTTAAGCAGGGAAGAAATGCTCAGAGCCGTGGGAATGATAGAAGCTGGTTCCCGGCAACGTACTGTGGCTTTAGCTCTGAATACAAGTCAGAGTGTTATCAGTCGACTTTGGACACGATACCGAAGCACTGGTACCGTGGCTGAGCGCCATGGAGGACGGTATCGCTGCACCACACGGAGACAAGACCGATACATTCAAATCTTAACTCGAAGAGCTCCAACAATAACCGCCATGATGTTAGCCGTGAGGCTTCATCACTCTTCAGGGAACTTAATTAGCGACCAAACAGTCAGAAACCGCTTGCATGAAGTGAACCTTCATTCCCGAAGACCGCTACGGGTACCACCTATAGCAATGCACAATCGTAGGATTCGATATCAATGTGCTCTTGAACACAGAAATAGGGCAGAAGAACAATGGCGTTTCGTGTGCTTTTCTGATGAGTCTCGTTTTGGTATGAGACCGGATACAAGACGTATACGACACTGGAGAACCCCTGGACGCCAACAGCGATTAAAATCCTGCCAGGAAGTCCATCCTTATAGTGGTGGAACCATCATGGTATGGGCGGGTATTTGGATCGGCGGAAGAACTGAGTTGATTTGAATCAGAGGCAACCTCAACGCTCAAATTTATGCTGAGACGATTGTATCAGACGTCATCGTTCCTCTACAAGTGCAAATCGGTCCCTTATTTCAGTTAATGCATGATAATGCACGACCGCACACCGCAAGAGTTGTAAGACAGACTCTCGCCGCAGCTAACATCAATGTCCTGCCCTGGCCTGCTCAGTCGCCAGACTTGAACCCGATTGAGCATGCATGGGATATGCTACAGAGAAGAGCTCTGCCGAATATGGAGGGTATCCAGTCGCAAGAAGACCTTTTTTTGTTGTTGCAACGAACATGGGCGGCCATTCCACAGCGTGATTTGGATGAACTCATTTTGAGTATGCCAAACCGATGTTCTTGTGTTGTTAGTGTTCGCGGTAGAAATACGGATTATTAATTGTTTAAGTTACCCAATAAAATTTTAGAAAAAACTGTTATTTCAGTCTTTTTTTCGAACTTTTGTGTTAGTGGTTCAAATGTCAAAAATCCCTTTATTAGGAAAATGGCAAATTTCTTTATTAA